CCAACTGCTAGTAGTATTAACTTTACCTAGCTAGCTCCTTCCCCCCCTACACTCATATGCACCCTAGTCCCTGTCTCATCTCTGTTTTACCTTTTACCATTCTGAAAAAAAGAACGACAACAAAAAGAAACAACAATTCATTGCCTGGTTAGGAGAAACATAACCTTTCAGTTACAAATTCTTATTGGTAGGCCCATTAATATAAGATTAACTTACCACCAAGATGTCTTTGCTGAATAACTTCAGGTGGGTTGTGACGTGTAACAGGGTTAGCGTATTGGTTGGTTAGTGTATTGATGTGTGTAACCTGGTCAGTGTGTTGTTTTATGTTGCATCTTGATACTCCAGTCTTCCTGGGGGAGCATATACCATAGTATTCACTTTTCATGTAATTCACTCCAGATAGTATAACAGTACATAACTCAAGTCTCAACTATTGTTTCAGATATTATTTGAGATATCATTTAGATGCAATAAATAAGCTTAATCCCAACTGGAATGTTAATGCTTGAAAGTTCTGTTTTCTCCGATTTGAACAGTGGAGAACTTTGGTCATAGCAGGTGTAATCTTCTAGATATAAAGGTCATCTTGGGCTTAAATTGAAGCTTATAGACTTGGGTCTAGTTTTTCATATACATCTGAGGCAGTGAGATGTGTAATAAAATGCTTGAAAATAATCACTTTTGATGACAATTTGTCAGGCGGACAGACATTTTTTTTGTCTTTTGGGGTATGATGAGGGTGATATTTGAAAATAGAAAGGCAGAAAGCCCCAGAATCTTATACTGCTAGTTTCCCCAATGGGTCAGGATACACCATGCAAAATTTGAGACTTTTCTGACGATTTATGCAGATGCAGTACCTTAATATTTGCAATGACATCATTTCGCCAGAAACTTTTCCCAAAAAGGTTTTTTTTTGGCCCCTGAGACCAAACGGCCCCGAGTTGGGGGTGCTCCTTATCAACTTGTGATGGCCGAAGGTATGGGATAACTGAAAATAATAGTGAAAAAAAGGTAGCAAAAAACATCCTGAGGGGTGGACCTGGATCCGGGCCTAACAGGGATCCTTGAGGGAGTTTGAGTGGGTCTCCAGAGAAATATACCTAAAATACCCTAAAACTTCAATCAAAAGCCCAGTCCCAATTAAACGCCTAGACCTTTCAACAAATAAAGGCCTGTCTCAATTACACGCCTGGTCTTGTTCCCAAGCAGTTAATTTTTTATAAAGGTTCTTCAGATGAATAAAACCAGGTTGTTGGCTATCTCAAATTATGTGTCCATCCCTCGAATTACCCTGTAAGTTATTCATATTCCTTTAGTCCATAAAGGTCCTCAGATCAAAAGATTCAAAAGGGTTTTTCATAAAAGTTATTCCAAGTTGTGAGTATTGTTTTAAAAGGATAAAGTGGGGTTGTGTCGGTATGCCAGGTGCTGTTGAGTGCCGTAAGTCTGCCCTCTGACGCACTGTCTGTCGGAGCTAGATCAAATGAATGATTCATAATTGACATATTATCCGAAGCCTAATTTTTCGTCTTTTGTTTCCAGTTGGAACAGTCAGATATCATCCTTTATATGGCACAAAAAAATCACCCAGGATTAATAAAAGTATATTTCAGCAGCCACATACAGTCAGAGGTATGGCACTTCCAAATCTGATGTACTGCCACTGGGCCGCCAATATGAGAGCATTGTTATATTGGATGAGGAATGATGTCACTGATGTCAATAACCCTGAATGGGCAGTGTTGGAGGGCATCCATTGAGTCTACCTCCCCAACAGCTTCATAATCTTCCAAATTACCATTAAAACAGCCTATTTTGACTTTTACCTCTAATCCTGTGGTTATCCATTCACTTGAAGAGATGCACACAAAGATTTGAAATAAAAAAGATCTTGATCAAAACAATTGTATTGTATTTCCTTATCTTTCCTGAGCAACAGTTTTATGTGAAAGGCCTGTCCTAAATATAGGCCTGTTGATTTCAGTGATGTAAGCTAGTGATAGCCCGGGCTATTATCTGAAGTTTTACAGTAGTCTATTTTTAGTATGTAATTTCCTGTCCAAGTGAGATGAGAGTATAAGAGTCATAAGAGTGACTATTCCGATCAAAAGTTTCACTTCCTCCACTGTTATTTCCTCAATTGTAGCTGATATCTATAAAATTATTGTCTTAATCATATGTAATTTATATAAGATAGAGGTTATGAATTAATTGATGAGTCATGGAGAAGGAGTGGAATAAATAAGTGTACACTTCCTCCTTCTCCTTTTCATCCATGTAAGATTTAATTTGTGTTGTTTGTGAGAATATAGTCATTGAGTTTGTTGTAAAGGTTTATTGTATCATTTATTTCTTTTTCAATAGCTTTTTTTTTGTTTCAATGTTCTAAATATAATCAATCAGGGGTCTGTGACCTAATGTGTATCAAGTTAGGGGTCCTTGACACAAAAAAGGTTGAGAAGCACTGCACTGAATGACCACAACATTGATGAAACACTAGTATTCTGCCATTGACGGATCTGTGTGACAGACCAGCTTTACAACATTCCTGAGGAAGTAAATCATTATTTACTGTTGATTTAACTCTGGAACATAGAGTTCAGCATGACGAGGTTTATCTCATGTCTGAAGAGTAACTTCTGTTGTTGTTGACACTGAACATAGGCCAGACTTTTCACAGCTTTTATCAGGCTGACAGAAATTTTCATAATGTAAATTCAAGGTGTAAATTACGTCGTGTAACAACCAGTAGACTCCCCTACAAAGAACACTGTGTATGGGCCAGTTTGGTCACATGGGAATAACTCTAGGCCATAAACACAAATACATTTAAGATCCACAGTGATTTTGCATTTTTATGACTGCTCACACTAAAGGGCACAGCACAGGTGGTAGGGCTCCACAGCAGATAAGCAATAACATAAATCAACTGACCTGCTCACTTGGATGGAGGTTAATGATTAAATTTTAGCACTCCAACTGAAAAACAACAGCCTTTGTGTTTAGAAGTGGGTGCAAAGGTGGTTTGGGGTTAATGGAGCAAGCCTGTAACCAAAAGTTTCATAGATACAATTTATTTCCTGCAACAGACGATCATAAGTTGATTGGCAGCCACATGCAGTTGAGCAATCCGTTGAAACTCCACCCGCGTACTCACTGAAGCACTTCAATGCTTCAAAAGAAAAAGAGGACAATAATGGCCAGTAACCAGTACGCTGATGATACCACCTAGAAATATTTGACCATATCCGATGGGCTTATCAACAACACATTTTTTACTACTTCATTTTTATAGCTTGACATGACAGCTCATGACAGAAACAACACATACTTACATAAGGAAAACAGATATGAGAAGATCTGGACTGGCCTGTCTCACTGTGACTCAGCAAGATTTTCAAGAGATATCTGTCCTCTCTTAACACAATATCTTCCTTCCTATTACCAAAGTAAAGCCCATACATGACCTGGGTATATAATGGCCTAGAGTTTTAATAATAAGAACAATTCCCCAAATCTGTACATTTTACAATAGAGCCAAAATTCATGGGAATAGTCTGTCTTTATTGCCCCACATCCACTCACTCAGAAGTTGTCGAAATCCTGTGCTTGGGCAGTGGCTTGTGATATATAGCTTTTTAGGTCAACCATGGTATCGGATCAGTATCGGGTATCGGCTGATACTCAAAGCCATAGCATCGGGACTAGTATCGAAACTGAAAAAGCTGGATTGGTGCATCTCTAGTTGGCATGATACGTGGCTGATTGCGGTTATAGTTAAATGGCGCCCGAAGCTGTCAGGGGGAAATGCAGCGGGACAAGGACGAATGTTAAGACGGCAAAAGTCCGACTAGGGTGGGCGGAAGGGGTGCTGGGTGGGTCCAACAAACACCAACCTTCACCTGGGAGAGCAGCATTTGCGTCCCTTAAGATTCTAAAGCCAAACCTTGTTCTTATTTCCTAACCCTAACCACGTTTGTTGTTGGAGGGAAAAACACATCAAATCACGGTGTTGTCCTGATGTAGTGCATTTATTTTGAAAGAGACAAATATTTATTTTTCCTCTTACCTGTAGCGCTATCTATCAATGTAGATTATTTAGGTGTGAGTTGCGGAGTGTTGGAGTTAACAGCCGTCGACATGCCTGCCTTCTCTTCGATATAATGTCATTAGATGGCACTCGGCTTATGGTGCTCAATGTTCAACCCAAAGTCGTCGAAATCTGGTGCTTGGGCAGTGACTTGCAGCGTCAGACGCAGACTAAAAAAGCCGTCCTTTCACGTCTGTGTTAGCGTCCTGTAAGATTACAATGCCAAACCCTGTTCTTTTTTTTTTCTAAACCCAACCATGTGCATTAGTTGTTGGAGGAACAAAAACATCAATATGCGTTGTTGTACCGATGTAGTGCTTTTCTTTTGAAAAAGACTATGTAAATGTTAAATTTCCTGTGAAAACGGAAGTGCATTTTGCATGCATGTAACAGGCAGAACTTGACACGGTGTCCCAGAACGTCAAAAACCAACGCACCCAGGGTACCTTGCACATCATATGTAGACGTGGAAAGTCCATGACCAAATGTCAGTATGTGACGAGGTTGGAGTGAGAATGTGTTGCTCTAACATGACGGTGATTTGCAACTTATTATATCAATCAATGTAAGGATGTTGTATACTGTTGTATCCCCCAAATATACAACCATTCGTCCTCTGTAATATTCACACCTATCCCATTTTCTTTTAAATTTACAGTGTCATATATTTATCTCATAAAAGTCCCTTAGTTGCACAATGTTATTATATGGATGTGTGCTGTCAGGCAGGTGTGCCTGTGGCCGTTCCAACTGAAACGTATTAATCTCTTGTTCTGGATTCCGCCGAATTCACCAACCAAGCAGAAACTTGTTGCTCCATCCAATCTGCACGGGACACGCCCAACTCCTAACCTGTCATCAACCTGAAGGACTGACGTGTGGAACACAATCCCAGGAGCGCAACACTAGTTTGGTGTGGGAGGACAAGCCATGGTGGCGGGATTTTCACCGGCGGAGTTTCACTGTCATGCTATGGTGCTGGGAGGATAGTGGGATCAGCTCTCTGATCTCTGTGTCGGGATGAGGGGAGTCTAGAGCCGTGGAGCAGGAGAGAGACTATTGTGCCAGGCGCAGAGGCGCTCTCCAAGAAATGGCTCTCACACCTCTTCGGGTCCCTCATGTCACTCTCTCGGTGCTGTCACTGCTGCAACTCTGGCTGCTCGTGTCCGGGAGGGCGCTGGAGGTAACTGACCGAGGCGCACCTCATCTCACCTGTAGCGAGGTAACAAGTCACAGTGGCTGCGTCTACATGCGCACAAGTATCATGTTTTTTTGGTCGTATTCTAGGCGATATGTAGCCTATATATAGGCTACATATCCCTGTGCACATGATCATAACAGCATCCAGTTTCTGATTAGCTGCAACTGTGTCTTGATTTCTCTGAGCCACTATGTTCTGCACCAAGGAAGGATATTCAGAAACCAAGATAAGGGCTTTGAATGCAACAGTAAGGTTATCTTAGGTTGTATCAGAGTAGAGTTGTGTTCCAGAATCTGGAACCAGGATGTTAACTGGTGCTACATGTGACAGGTACAGATTTTCTGTATTTGTGTAACCTATCATGTACTTGATTGTGAATTTAAAACACCTTGTTATAACATATAGGACCTATTTTTTGTTTTCATAAGGTCATTTGTAAAACCACCGTCTCTTAGATCACAGAATCTGTCCTTTATGATACAAGACATTAAAATCAGTCATAAGTTTTTTTATATTCATATATATATTTATATTTATATTTATATATATATATATTTTTATATTTTTATATTTCATATGTTTTAGTTGATCTAGTTTTACTAGATTTAACTAATGAGTGTGCAGGCTTCAGGTTTTGGGTTGAACTAGTAGAGGAGACAGAGGGAGAGAGATCAGAGTTTAATGTCCATTACTTATTTACTATTTTGTGCCGGGGTGTGACACCTTACTCCACTGCTCCGTTTCCAAGGAGGGTTGTTGTAGCTTGAAGTGTCTCTGAAGAGCTTTATCAAACAGAGACCATCAATATATGTTTTATATAATACACACACAAGCACATATAAGGTTGAAGTGTAAAGTAGCATAAAACTGAGACAGTTAAAGGGGTACACCACCTAAATTTAGATTATTATTATTTCCACTGTCTAGGAAAGTTCAATCAATATTTGTGAACATGAGCTGCTCTCTCTCAAAGCCAGAAACCAGAGAAGTAAGTCTCAGACTTGTGATGTCATAGGGTATAAGGTCTGGTGTTTTCTTTTTTTAGACCCAAATGTGCTTTATTCTGTTGCAGTGTTCTCAGTGCTGAAACAGAAAATGTACCCATACACTCAGGACATTCCCCTCTCACCATTCACTGTCTATGGAGCAGCTCCAGACTTTATGTGGCCATATTTTCTTTAAGTGTTGAAGTACTGCAGGAATTGTGATGAAAGTCATTTTGACACATCACACCAGAAAAATCACAGGTGTAGACAGTAAGATTAAAGGTGGCTGAATTCCACTGAGCTGATTCAGTTTCAGGTTCCTGGTATTGTGCATGCAGGTTCACTGTCACACTTTCATCAGCTGGGATACTTGAATAAAACTGAGTCATAATTAGTAACACTTGTGCTATACTTACCATGAAAAGACAAAATGTTTGAGGTGAAAAACAGTCTGTTATTCTTGTAAAATTGTGCTTATAGTAGTGCCAATGTATTGTTATGTATATGCTGTGTATATGACATATAAATGGCACTCTCTGGATCTTTACTGGGAATGGAGCAACATGCTTTTTGGTGTTTTGATAAAGCGTAGAAATGTCATGTTACACGCTGGTCCAAAACGTAAGTCCCTCCCATAGAGAAAATGAAAATACAACTGTCACCACTAAAATACTTGATTGATTTATTTTGTATTATTGTGTCATGCACCAGAAGTGCCCAGCCCAAATGGGCTTACAAGACACCAAATAAATAAATAAATAAAATAAGAAGACAGCAAATGAAAAACCAGATATCAGGCAGTAGAGCAATTAAACATATAAACCATCCTGACGCTTTTTCCAGGCTTCACATACAAAATTAGCAAGCTTAAAGACATTAAAATTAGATAACCAGTTCATTCTATCATCATCAGAGCACCAGAAAATTTCTGGGTTTTTAACAGACATTTCGGTAAATATTGGAGTTCTCAGTTCATCATACAAGGAACAGTATAAAAGAAAATGTGATTCACTTTCAACTTCGTTGAGTTCACATAATTCACGTAACCTTTCATCTTCTAGAATGTTTTTAAATCTTCCGACTTCAAGATTCAAGGGAAGGATTCCTGTTCTCAACTGTGCCACTAAGGACCTTTGATTTCTTGTTAGGTTTGCTTTAACATAAGGTTCGGGGCCATAATTGTGCTTAATGTGGATATATGTTCGTAATTTGGGTTTTAACAGAATATCATTTAACCATTTTGTCTCAAATAAAGCGAATAGCTTCTCACTAATTGAGGCTATTGAACAAGTTAAATTATTACTATATATATATACTGTAATCCCACCTCTTCAAATAGAGTGAATATTTCTTTTGCCCGTGGAGAGCCGTTGAATTTACTCCAAATAAAAACTTTCTTATTGATCCTATCTTCTGACATATTGACTAAACGATTCCACAATCTAATCATCTCACACTTACGTCTTATAGAACCAGGAAGCCAGCCCATGTCACCTTGAACGGCCAGAATCGGAGCAAACTTATGCACACCTAAGAAACAACGAGCGGCTCTGTTCTCTATGGAATTTGCAATTTTAGAATCCTTAAACCCCCAGACCCCTGAAGCATAATTTAATATGGGAGAGACACAAGCATCATAAAGTTGTGAATAGGTAGAATATCCAAGAGTTTTACATATCTTAAACTTGCTGACCACAGACCCTAATGCCCTCCCAGCTGAATCTGCTGACAACTTAATTCCCACTTCCATCGTCATAAACTCATCAAAAGTAAATCCTAAATATTTATATGTAGATGTATATTCCAGTCTTACCTCCCCAAAGGTAATATTTTTATTACTTGTTGGGGTGCCTTTTTTTCTAAAATGAATAATCTGGGTTTTACTTTGATTTATTATTAATCTCCATCCGAGTTTTTGCTCCAGCAGGTCTAAATGGGATTTTAGTGCCCCGATTTCTAAATCAATATTATCGTGAATTTCTTTGACGCACTTTTTGAGCTCACTTTTCAGGATTTTTTCCAATGATCCATACAGTCCATCCACCTTACTGTTCAGTTGCCTTTCAATATTGTCCATCTTCGACTGAATAACTTTCAACTCCTTTAACAGCGCACCTGTTTCTTCCTCGTCTTTGTCCTCATCTTTGTCCTGCTCACGGGTGCGTGTTTGCCTAGGTTTCTCAGACATTGCCTTCTTCTTTGAATGTCTTCCACGGATAGTTGACTGTAGATCAAGTTTAAACTAAGTTGCTCACAGTATGCCTTTCTTTCATGGTCCGTAAATCACAGACAAAATCGTATAAAACGACCGCCTCGATGCTCCTGCAGCTGCCTACTCTATTACTCTACTATTTCTTCTTTAATTTTCACCTGTCTGATGTTTTCATTGCTATTCTACAAATAAAACATTGAAATGAGCCATTAAAATTTAAATTAAAACTTGCACTCACCAGCCACTTTATTAGGTACACCTTGCTAGTAGCGGGTTGGACCCCTTTTGCCTTCAGAACTGTTGTAATTCTTGGTGGCATCAATTCAACGAGGTGCTGGAAACATTCCTCAGAGACAGCATCACACAGTTGCTGCAGATTTGTCGGCTGCACATCCATACAATACGATACAATTCTCCCGTTCCACCACATCCCAAAGGTGCTCTATAGGACTGAGATCTGGTGACTGTGGAGGCCATTGGAGTACAGTGAACTCATTGTCATGTTCAAGAAACCAGTTTGAGATGATCTGAGCTTTGTGACATGGTGTGTTATCCTGCTGGAAGTAGCCATCAGAAGATGGGTACACTGTGGTCATAAAGGGATGGACACGGTCAGCAACAATACTCAGGTAGGCTGTGGTGTTTAAACCATGCTCAGTTGGTACTAAGGGGCCCAAAGTGTGCCAAGAAAATATCCCCCACACCATTACACCACCACCAGCCTGAACCGTTGATACAAGGCAGGATGGATCCATGTTTTCATGTTGTTTACACCAAATTCTGACCCTACCATCTGAATGTGGCAGCAGAAATCCAGACTCATCAGACCAGACAAGTGGATATTTTCTCTTTTTGGGACCATCCTCTGTAAACCCTAGAGATGGTTGTGTGTGAAAATCCCAGCAGGTCAGCAGTTTCTATTTGCGTTAAAGAGCAGTTGAAGAGGTGTACCTAATGAAGAGGCCAGTGAGTGTATTAGCAGGTCGTCCACTAATCGGAAGAGCACGTTGTCCACTAATCGGAAGATCGACGGTTTGATCCCTGGTTCCTCAAGCCCACATGTTGAAGTATTCTTGGGCAAGATACTGACCCTGATGGCTGTTCCATTGGTGTGTGAGCGTGTGTGAATGGTTACTGAGTAGCAGATGGCACCTTGTATAGTAGCCTCAGGCACCAGTGTGTGAATGTGTGTGTGAATGTGACATGTATTGTTAGAGCGCTTTGAGTGAACGGAAGGCAAAAAAAGTGCTATACAAGTTCAGTCCATTTTTTAAAATGTATTGAAATTTAATTTTTCATTTATTTAATTCTCATCCACAACTTATCTTCCTCCAGGGTTTGACCGACTGCACCATGAAATTAGGTAGTGACACATTCAGCACAAGTGCATCTCATACCATGATAACAATCTTACACTTTGTCTAAAGCAGAATCTTCTTTCCACAGCCTCTCCATTCGCTGCTGCCCTGCCCGGTCCAGATGATACAGTGAATGTTGCACAAGTGCAGCTTAAAGTGATTCTGTGCTGCGCGGCCAAAAAGGACTGTGCGCCTTGCCTGCAAATCATCATCGCAGTCCAAGGTAGCTTCATCATAAATCTCATGTTTTTGATGGTGTCAGCTAGGGTGCCATGCCTTGAATTTTTTAAATAATTTTTCCTTGAGGTGTCTCTCACACCCCAATGATTGTTTTCATTGTCACTACTGTCATTGCCAAATCGTTTCATTTTCCTGCATTGTCATCGTACAATGGTTGTTTGTCTTGTCTTGTCTACCTGTTTGTCTGCTCTTGTGATCTTAAAACATCACGTTCTCAACTGTGCTTTTGACTGTTGTTGATTTGCAGAAGTGGATAATGCAAATGAGGTTTTTGAGGAGTCTGGTGACGGTAACGATGAAGAGGAGGCTCATTGGCCTGAATCAAAGGGAAGTGGTCACTTGGTGCTTCCTGTGCCAAGAGGTATAGAGCCATAAATCTGACCCAAAACACACATTAAGTTGAATACCTTTTCTATTCTGATTACACAGTTTACCTTTCTTCTTCTCTGCTCTCTGTGTTACAGCTTTGGTGATCGTGTGTCTCAGCTCCCCAGGCTCCATGGAACTTTGCAGAGAGCTACAGTTCAAACCAAGCCACTCAGGGTTAGACCGAGCATCTTCTCAACAGCTCACACACAAGGTAGCTGTGAGGAATTACCTCGTGTAGTTGTTGTATTTGTTGTTGATTCGTTAATTAAGTATAGTCTTCAGTGGTGGGAAGTAGATTTATCTGACTGTACTTCAGAGGTACTTAACTCCTCTGCAGTACTCATATCCTCTTGCCTGATATCAGACAGAACTGCCAGTTTGTTACACGTCTCTGTCTGAATCTAACATCATTTTTAAATCCACACTGATGCATAGCCATGTCAACAAACCTGTTTTGTGGGAGTTAAGAGTGACACAGAGCAAAGTAAAAACAAACTATGATGTTGGGCAATACTTAAAAGAGCCTCAATAGCAGTCTTGTCTGTAGAGCTTCCAGGGTTGTTGTTACTCTTCGTTCCGGCACTGCTTGGCTTGACCATGGTGCTGATTGGCTAATTGCTAGTTCCCACACAGTGCTCAATGGTCGTTCTGTATTTTAACCAAGAAACCAATTGAAAATTCCAAAATATGAAGCGGGACTTTTTCTTCTTTCCCCTCCAATTAATCATCTCACGACCTCTCAGATTTATCTTGTGACTTAAATAAGAGCGGCGCAATCCCTAGGTTGGAACCACTGCTCAAAACCATCCAGCTCTGTCTAAAAAAACATAATCTCTCAAACTTAACCTACTACAACAGTAAATCCTGCCAACAATACTTGTATGCTTTTAAGTTCATCCATCAATTTTCAACTGCTTATCCGAAGCTGGGTCACAGAGGCAGCAGACTGAGCAAGGTATTCCAGATGTCCCTCTTCCCAGCAACGCTGTCCAACTCCTCCTGGGGGACACCAAGGTGTTCCCAGATCGGATGAGATATGTTCTGGGTCTGCCCCGGGTAACTCCCACCCGTTGGACGTGCCCAGAACACCTCTTACAGGAGGTGCCCATCCTGATCAGATGCCCAAACCACCTCAACTGACCGCTTTCGATGCAAAGGAGCAGCGGCTCTACTCCGAGCTTTCTCCGCTCTCTCTTGATATTCTTTTAAGTAGTATTTTAAATACAGAACTTTTATTTGAAACTGAGTGTTTTTACATTGTCTTATAAGGATCATCTTTCAGGATCTGAGTATTTTCCATCACTGCTAGTCTCTCACTATCCGACACTCCTACTTATTGAAGCGCAAGTCCAGTCTCACTCCAAAGTCTTTAAAATCTGGCACTTGGGCAGTGACTTGCGGCGTCAGAAGCCCATAAAAAAGGCGTCCTTGGACATCGGCATGACATGCAGCTGGTTGCTGTATGGTTTAACGCCACCTGGCAGTGTCAGGGAGAAACGCGACAGGACAAGGATGAAAGTTTAGGCGGCGAAAGTCTGGTAAGATTTCAAAGCCAAATCCTGTCCTTTTTTCCTAAACCCAACCATGTGTGTTTGTTGTTGAAGGGAAAAAAAGTCAATTCGCGGAGTTGTACCAACGTGGTGCATTTATTTTGAAAGAGACTGTAAACGTAAATTTCCTGTGAAAACGGAAGTGTATTTTGAAAGAAGACGATGTATGTAACAGGCAGAACTTGACACCGTGTCCCAGAACATCAACAACCATTGCACCCAGGGTACCACACGACATGTATGTGGACGTGGAAAGTCCATGACCAAACGTCAATTCGTGATGGGGTCAGAGTGAGAATGTGATGGAAGTGCTCAAAGGCTAGTTTCCAAAATATCTTTGTCTTTGTCTTCTTTTAAGTTTACTATATGTATATTTCCTTCAAATGCAGCTGCTGTTTGCAGAGAGAGTGACGTTCGGGAGTGAAGTTGTTGTCCAAGTCTACACACATTCAAAGGAAACTTTCCATGTTCAAAATATCACAGTCCCATCTTTAGTAGAAGGTGAGGTCAAGTGCTTTAATGGAAGAAAAACACTGAAATGCTGTCTGCTAATGTCACTAAACGTCCTCTTATCCTCCCTTATTACAGCTTGCTCCGCAACCCTAGAGAGGACTGTAAAGGAATGTGATGGTTAGTAATTATGTAGACATCCACCTGTTGTTTATCTGGATTAGCATGTATTGTTTGCATAAGCCTACTGATGAGCATGCACAAGGAAGTACCATAAAAACAGTTTCACTGACATGTTGCGAAAGATGGCTCAATTCTAAATCGTGACGATTGATGTGTCAGCTCCCAGACTCCGAGCTGTGACTGATCAGAAGAGAAATGTGGTCGTCCTCCAACTGGAAAATGCAGATGACAGACCAGATGAGATCATGTGCCGGATGGTTTGGAACGGTGTGGCTGGAGAGGCTCTTGTATGGGTCAGTTAATGCTTAACTTTTCATCTCAATCTGCTCTGTTAGTCAAAAATCAATCTTGTCCTTGTATATCGATCCTTTTAACTTTCTCTTTAACCTTCGCAGCCCAAAAACAAGACAGAAATGGTCATTTCGGCGAACTCTGTTGCACCATGCCTGTGCTTCCAGGTAACTGACATGTTAATTGTAACAGATAAGAAAAAGACAGCAAACATTTTGGGGGGAAATATATTTTAAACCAAAAATTTGTTTTCAGGTAGGCTGGAAGGGAAAGGAGTTTCAAAGAAGGTTCTGCCCCTTCAACAACCAACAAGGTAAAGGGAGTTCACAGAGGTCAACCTGAGAGCAAGATAGACTGTCACAGTAATGATTTTAAAGCCTATCAATGTTTTTTTTTTTTTAGATGCACTGGAAAGAATGCAGCACAGCATGTCTGTGTCTGTGGAGGAGACTCAGATGAGGGAGGGTGGCGTAGGGCTGAGCTGGAATGTGAGTGCCCCCTGCAGACTGGAGGCAGAGATGTGGCTGTGCAAGAAAGACCTGGCAGGAGACCAGTGTGACGAGGTGTCGGGCTCCAGACAGAGACTGCACAACCATACTGGCTGGAGTGCAACTCGCAGTGGACACTGGGTAAATATATCAAGACAAACTTTGCCTTCTTTGCAAGCTGTCACATCCCTGCTTTAAGTACATTTTCCACCAATACTTATGTACTTTACTTAAAGGAATAGTTCACACTGAAATCAAAAATACTTATTTTTCCTCTTACCTATTGTACTATTCATCAGTGTACATTGTTTTTGTGTGAGTTACAGAGTGTTGGAGGTATCAGCCGTCAAGATGTCCACCTTCTCTTTCATATAATGGAATTAGATGGAACTCAGCTTGGGGTGCTCAAGGTGCAACCCGGTGATGCTCCGAAGTCATTGAAATCTGACACTTGGGCAGTGATTTGCGGCGTCAGACACAGGCGAAAAAAGCCGGCCTTTCATGTTGGCATGATACATGGTTGGTCGCTGTTAGAGTTTAACGTCGCTCGGCGGCGTCAGGGGGAAACGCAGTGGGACAAGAACAAAGGTTAGAGTAGGGCGGATGGGATAGGTGCTGGATGGGTCCAACAAACACCAACTTTCACCTGGGAGAGCAGTGTTTGCGTCTCATAAGATTATAACACCAAACCCTGTTCTTTTTTCCTAAACGTAACCACGTGCGTTAGTTGTTGGAGGAAAAAAAGTCAATTCAGGTTGTTGTGCCGACGTAGTGCTTTTATTTTGAAAGAGACTGTATGTAAACGATAAATTTCCTGTGAAAACAGAAGTGTATTTTGAAAGAACACAATGCATGTAACAGGCAGAACTTGACATGGCATCCCAGAACGTCAACAACCAACGCACCCAGGGTGCATTCCACGTCTCATATGGACGTGGAAGGTCCATGACCAGATGTCGATATGTGATGAGGTCGGAGTGAGAATGTGTTGCAGAGTGCCAACAAAAAAAATCTTAAAAACTAGACAGCAATGTCTCTTCCCAGAAATCAAATTATTTAAGATAATCCACAGACCTTGTCATGAGCAGTTTCATGTAGGAACTATTATCTTTCTACACTGCATCTAACACTAACTCACCTCGTACCACTGAGCTAGCTAACATCGCAGCTCAGCCAAGGTGGAGGCCAATAAATTTTGCATCTCATCTGCTTCTTGTCCATGAGTAGATGAACGCTTCTTTCTGCACGGTGATTCAATTGGCTGGTGTACTTCAGAAGGAAGAAGAATAGTTCCTACATGAAACTGCACTGGCACTTTGTGCAGCACAAGTCGATTGGCATGTAGTTCGATTAGATCTGAAAGAATGCAAACATGTCTATGGTCATTTTCTACAAGACTTGGCAAGTCACAATAAAACATTCTTGACTGATAAACAGCACAACAGGTGAGAGGAAAAAGTATGAATGATCCCTTGAAGTAACATGTTACATGCATGTCTTACTTGTAGTTAAAATTATTTTATATTGTGGCGCCTACTGCACATACTGACTGCACCTTTAGTCCTACCCTCACCCTGTGGAACCACAGTATTTACATGTTTTTAACATTAATTATGAGTTTGCCTTACATTATTGCTGTATGTTTAATGATGAAGCTTAATTTATCTTTGGTCATTATTTATTCATTCATGTATTTGCTCATTTACTTTTCAGAAAACAGGAGAGTTCAATGCGTCGTCACATCCTCTGCTTTGTGTTCAGGTGAGCTTTGCCTTGATATACTACATATGATCTTATACATACAGTCGTAAACATGTTTACTGCTTCACTGTTACTGTGCTTACCTTGACTCTTTCACTTGTTTTCTAGATAAAGATACATGGGATGAAGTCATACTTAAAGCCCCATTGTCCATTTTCAAGTAAGACTATTAATTATTTTACAGATCCAGATTAAGAGTGTTTAATGTTTAACTGTTATCAGCTAAACAAGTTACAGTTCTTTCATGAGAATGTGGCAGATAAGTAGTTAAACACTCACTTGATGTTGACTTGTAGCATTAGCAGTGCCTGTGAAACCTCTTTAATATGCTTTTAAAGACTGCTGTACTTAATAATTAATTTATTTTCCAGCATCGCGATGGAGATGGAGCCTACCACTCCTCATTGGAGTACTGCTGATGTGTTTGGCCATACTCGGAGCCTATCTCATACAAGGGGTCCTTAAAGGTTAGTTTTAATGACCTATTTCTAGGTAACAAAATATCCCAGGTAAAAATTGCACTCGGCTGTGTTTCAGCTCCATGGTGCCAAATGTAAGCCAGCTTTGGCCTGTTTACTTTTGCCACATCTGGCCCAGATTTAGCCATTACAGACATGGTCCTTCTCTGGCTGAGACATGGCTCCAGGATGAATTAGCAGCTAGCACCAAAACGTGTTCTGGCCATTGATGGTTGCCAAATCTGGGCCTGATTGGGCATTGTAGGCATCCCGGCTGAGACCCGGCTGCCCGAATCATACCAGTTTATTTGACCTGATTCTGGGCCGTCATTCATCCCGAGTCTCAGCCGAGTCGGGTAAACAGATGCAACTTATTTCTTCCTGCACGCTGAGTTTGGGCCGATGCTGGGCCAGGCCACTTTGGCTACCTGGGATTAATAGAACCTTAACAAAATATCTCAGTGTGTAACTTCTGTTTTTCCTCTAGGGTACATGTGGAGATGGTTGAAAGAAGATGACGTTAAAGGTATGAGAATTTCTGACATCTATTTCATACGGGGCAGTCACTATTTTTCACAACCCCTTTACACTGTCACATTTTCACACTTGTATTCATACATTTGTAAAGTTGTATAATTACTTATGTTCTTGGTCACGTGCATGTATTGTCGACATCACTGGACAGAACTACCTGTTTCCCTCTAGTGAACCGTCTCCTGGTTGGAGCTTTATATTTAGCAGACAAATATCAGCATGGTATCAGTCTTCTCATCTAAGTCTCTGCTAAAAAGCAAACAAACATTTTTTCTCAAAATGTCAAACTCTCCAAAAGGTTTTAATCTTCTTCTATTTCAGATGCTGTCGGTGGTGGTCATGTGGTGTTGCTGTACCCACCTGATGATGACCAAGCTTTGCCAGAGCTTATGAGTCACCTGGGTTCGTCCCTCCAAGCCCTGGGCTTCAGTGTGTCTCTAGACCTGTGGAGCCAGTCTGAGCTCAGTGTACTGGGCCCTGTGCCCTGGCTCCACTCGAGACTGAACCGACTGCAAAGGCAGGGGGGCAAAGTGGTGCTGGTCCTGACCCAGGCAGCCTGGATAAGGGCTGAAGAATGGGGAGCTCGGAGCTGGGAAAGAAACACTCCCAGGGAGAGGAACAGAGACATGGAGGATGAGGAGACAGGAAGAAGCTACACTGCTTCCTCCCCCTGTGCAGATGTTTTTACAGCTTCATTAAGCTGTATTCTAGCAGACTATTTACAGGGCCGCGCTGGTGAGCGGTTCATGTTGGCGCAGTTTGAATCACTTCCGCCTGAGCCTCCAGGTGGTTTCCGGCCACTGCCAGAACTTTTCCGTGGCCTTCATGTTTACAGCCTCCCATCACAGAGCCTGGGTTTTCTGACTGAACTGGCTGGGGCTCAGCAAATGGCTACTGCATCAGCCAGACGGAAAAGAGCAGGGGGGCTCAGGATGGCATCCCGAGCTCTGGCACAAAGGCTGTCAGGGTTCACAGCAGGGACAACAGTGTTAAACCTTGCAGGAGTGTCTCAGAGTTGTGTTGGAGTTGGAGTTGAAGACTCTGGGGAGACAGTGCCCCTCCAGCCGTACCTTATTACGCCTCCGTCCAGCCCTGACTCAGACCCCAAGGTCAGTGAAATGGAGTGGGTCTGACAGCAGGAGAGGAAGACACAGAACCAGGCTTCACTTTTGGGAAGAGCAACCAGCAATGAGTTGAAGTGACACTCTGTGAGATGTAAAGTTAAATCAGTATTTGTTTGCAGCTTTTGCATTTGCTGGTCTAAACATCAGGGGTCGGGGTTTTTTTTTATGTTAATGGCAGTAGAAACAGTTCTTCTTTTTTCACATAAATATTGGTTGTTACAGCTTGAGCTCTTGCTGCTCCACAGAAATAAAAGCGCAACACAGTGAAACCTCACACTACCTCTGAAAATAAAAGGTCAAGGAAAAATACATCAATTGAAACACAGTATGTGGTCCGCGGTGTATTTTGAAAACAGCGGGCCATAGTCGGATACAAAAATTACACTAAAATGCAAAACAAGAATCTCGATGAAGCTCCATTGTTTTGTCCTGACATTATATTGTTTGTAACTGCCTCTGTGTGTTTGACAAACTTACTAGTATTTGATATTCTGCATGCACATGTATTGTGTATATAAAAGCCCTGAGAGACATGAAGAAAAAAACCAAACAAAAATAAGCTACTGCCTTTCTCTGACTTTATAGGCTACTTATTGCACAGCATAGTGAGACTGTTTATACTGTGTTTTGTCTTACTGTTTAAAGTGGGATGCTCCTCTGACTAGAAAATGATGTTGATACTAATTCATTACAAACATGGAGATGTGTGTTTGCAGAAGAACATCTTTTCATTTGTTTCACATGCAAAAGATTTATTCCTGATCCATAAAATCAATAAAGTGGCACTACACAGCAGACAACAATAACAAAGGAACCCTAAAGGTTTTGACTGGTAAAATATTTATTTGAACATTTTCTGAATGATTGTTTTTAATCAGTAAATGCAGTCATCTTCTACAAATGTCTACATACAGGTTGTTAAAATGTACTTTAAAGGAACAGTTCACCCCAAAATCTAAACTATTTCCTATTCTTCCTCTTACCTGTAGTGCTATTTATAAAGATTTATCTAGATTGTTTACATTTAAGTTGTAAGAAGTGTTGAAGATATCAGATGTAATGGAACTAGATGGTGTTTGGCTTGTGTGCCAAACAAACAAACATCTGAAAAACTGAACAACAATGCCTCTTTCCAGGAATCATGACCAAATCAATCCACAGACCTTGTTGTGAGCAGTTTTTACCGGACTACACTTAGACTATCACAGCACAGGAGGAAGCATGTATCTATTGCTAGCTCACCATGACAACACACTGACACCCCACAGGACAAATTAGCAACCTACACATATTTCACACCATGGATAGCTCCTATATTGATATTTTGACACATATGCAATGATGATTGATGGGTAATATGTACGTTGATGCTGTCCAATGTCAAGTCTGCATATGTGTCAAGACAACACAAGCACAATATCGTACACTAGGGCCTGTTATATTAGTATGCACTGGGGTTTGTTGCAATTTCCTTATGCCACTGGCCGAGGAAAATTAGCTGCAAAGCTGAGCAGCTTTCCTGGGGTGCCTTGGTGATAGTAGAAAGAAAGTAGGTCCTGCGCGAAACTGCTCACAACATGTTCTGTGGATTATCTTGAGTGATGAGGTCATGATTTCTGTAGAGAGACATTGCTGTTGAGCTTTTCAAATGTATTATTTTGGCTCTCTGAGCACCACAAGCCGAGTGCCATCTAGTTCCACTATATTAAAGAGAAAGCAGACATCTCTACAGCTGATATCTTCAACACTATGCAACTCACAGCAAAACAATTAAGTTTGTTAACTGTACAACAGATAGGAGGAAAAAAATATGTACTTTTGATTTTAGTGTTAACTGTCCCTTTAAATGCATCTCCACTGCAACTGTGGACAGTCTGTCAAGCAAGACCTGCGACATTATTTGTTATTTAAATATCTTGATGGACATGTTGGGATATTCTCAGTGTGACATCACTGGCAAACAGTCAGCCTGTGTAAGATTAGCTGTTGACTGATTGGCTAATGAATTAAATCCCAGCGGGTTTGGGCGGTGTCATATCCTGTGGGGCTCAGCTGTGTGGAAAACAGAGAACCAACTGGAAGCTGTTCATTCATCCCAGCGCGAGGCTACTAGCACCGCGCGAGCCTGTATGAGCACCACCAGCGTTAGCCACTTAGCTAGCAAAGTAGCTAGACATTCAGCTGGCTTTCACACTAAAATGGCTCACTTGAAGCATAAAAAATGGCTGTACAAGATGTGAAACTGTGCCTGCAGTGCGTGAACCAGCAGGGATTCAGACAATCATCAGTGGTGCAGTGGACGTGGTGGCTTTGCAATAAGGTAAGACCAGCGTAGCTGCAAGAAGTAGTTTTGCTAGCTAGCAAACAAAGAAATAACAGCGTTGAAGACCACTTAGCATATAGTTAACGTTAAATAACGTTCAGTAGACTGTGGAGATACACCGGACAATGATTAGCGTTAGCTTAGCAGCTAACTATCGACCTCAGCCAGCTGCTACAGTAGTTGGCTAATTGTGTGTGGTGCTGATGCTGAGCTAGCCAAGCTAACACTGGAAGAAGACCATCCCAACCACTGAGATATGTGCTTTTAAACAAAACAAAATTAATATAACATTTGGAGACATGTCACTGAGATACTTAAGGACTGTATTGTGTGTAATGTTAGGTTTGAATGTAACCTGAATTATGAAAAATTACTGAAATATGTATATATTTGACGTCGCAGAGGGTGAGCTGAATATCGGACAGCAATAATGCAATCCAGTTTAGCTACAAAAGCTACAGCTTAAAGATAAGATAATATGGGCTACCACCACTTTCACATTGTCCAAATAAATACTGAACATTATGCTTCACATGAGTAATGCTGGTGTATATAGTTCATAGCTTTGGATTGGATGGCTTTACATTGTGCAGATGTTCCTGTTGTTTTGTCCATTCTCTCTACATATAGTAATAATATGTAAGATCCAGTTAATGCAAGTTGTGTCAGTGTCCCTAGAGAAACATAATAATAATGCATTTTATTTCTAGGGGTCTTTCAGAGACACCTTACAAGCAATGTTTTCATTGATCGTAAAATCAAACAATTCAGTAATATACAATAAACGTTAATGAAATGACTAGACAAAAAACATGATTATAAATGATAGGTATAGAATCATTGTAATAAAATCATCAGTGCAAGACTGAATATGTGTGTCACCACTAAATCACACTGAATATGCCAGCTTAAAAAAGGTGGAAAGGGAGTGAATATTGCAAATGTCACATATTACATGACGCTTAAAACCTTTATAAAAGTTAATGTGTATTTTTATGATACCTACTCGGATGATCACTGTTTCCAAACACAAATATTTTTTTGGATTTGCCTCACATTACTGGTTTTGTGTGTTTTCCGAAGGATCATGTGGTGGGCCTGGCCGTTCCTGCCTGCTCTGGTGCTCCTCTCAGAGCTCTCTGTGGTCAGAGTCCAGACCGCACCATGCCAGACCTGTCGAAAACTCACAGAGAGTTTCATTAAGGTACTGCAGTTAAGTTAATGTACCATTAGTTCATGCTTGTCTTCTTGGGCCAAGTTTTCTTTCCAGAATTACTGAGTCTTGTAATTTTCCTTTTCTTAGGGCTTGGAGAGAACAGCCAACAAGAACTTCGGGGGAGGAAACACTGCCTGGGAAGAGGAAAAGCTGGCTAAGTATGCACGCAGGTGAGAGAACATTGTAACCGGAGTTGCACCTACACCTTATTGAGTTACTTGATCTATGGGGGTTGTGGAGTCAGTCAATACTTGGTATCACAAATGCCAAGAAGAAAACTTTGATCTTTCTTGCATTTCTTTTCCTGGAATCATTCAGAATAATTTCGGAAGTCCTTGATATTGTGTAATGTGTGAATGATTACATAAGACAGTCTATTTTTACAGTCCACTTAGAGGAGTGAAACCTCTCAGTGGACCAGAGCATGGCTCCACTATCTGTTGGGGGTGGGTGGGGGCGTTATTCTGACTTTCATCTCTAATTGCTTCTCTTGTTTCAGTGAGACTCGGCTCCTAGAGATAGTAGAAGCTGCTTGTGAGAAAGCAGATTTTGAATGTAACCGGCTGCTGGAGCAGATAGAGGACCAGGTGGAGACATGGTGGTTCCACAGGTAAATCTGATACATGCATTTTTCATTGTTTTGTTTCTTGTTCAGATGTAGTACCATGCCCCCGTTTTAACTTAATGACTGACATGATGTATATGTCCAATAGGCAGCAGGAGGCACCAGACTTGTTTGAATGGCTGTGCATAGAAGAGCTGAGACTCTGCTGTCCACCTGGACGCTTTGGACCAGACTGCAAAGGTATGAAAAAAATTAAGAATTTAACAGATGCTTCTTGCTGTCAGTGTAGAAAAAAATCACCATACTAATTCAGAGCCTTGGCTTTTAAGCGTTCCAGAGTACCACTAATAGTATATTTATCCAATACAGAGTGTCCATCCGATGCTGGTGGTGTGTGTGGGGGCCTGGGCCGCTGCGAAGGGGAGGGGACTCGTCTCGGAGATGGAGAATGTGTCTGTGATCCTGGATATTCGGGCAATCTGTGTCAGAGCTGTGCTGATGGCTACTACAGAGAGAAAAGCTCCAACGACAGCAAAGGAGCCTGTGCAGGTTGAGATTCAAAGAACTGTTTTCTACTTTCTACATGTATTCATTCCTGTTTGAGGTCATCTAAAATTGACCTTCCCACTGTCTCCTTGTCTTTCACACTTTGTAGCTTGCTACCACTCATGTAAGAAATGCGCAGGGCCACAGGACTACAAATGCCTCGACTGCAAACCTGGCTGGATCCTTCATGACAACAAGTGCGTGGGTGAGTTTGGCTTTAGAGGTCATGTGGTAACATGTCATTGACTCTGTGCCAGTTTTCTGCATGCGTGTTGTTTGACTGGCCTTATGTGTCGTTTTAGACATTGACGAGTGTGGAACAGAGCTGGCCCGTTGTCCTTCTAACACCTACTGTCACAACACTGAAGGATCATATGAATGCAGAGGTATGTTCTCCTGTGAAGGGACTGTTGTCCGCATACTGTATTGTACCTGATGACATCATGCAAGTATGCTTTCCATAAAAATTTGTAGATTTTTTGCAACTGGTGTGATATTTCTTTTTCAATTATCAAGTGTGAAAAAAGGCTGGTTTTAGTAGGGATGCACTGACTGAAATTCTGGGCTGATACTGATATTGATGCTTTAAATAACGATTTGACTGAAAGCTGATACCAATGTTTTATTGTTACTGTTCCCCCTTTTGTGCTGGGGAAACAAAGAAATCTTCTTCATAAAAAATAAGTGAACTCAGGCCTTTCATATAACATTTTTGGACCATCCTCTGTAAACTCCTACAGACAGTTGTGTCGTCTAAGTGCATTGAGATGCTGCCACGTGATTGGCTGATTAGCAGCTGAGGAAGGGGGCGGAGTGAAGATTGTCCCTCGCTGCGGGGAGAGGAGAGAGGGCTTCCCCGGAGGTCAGGCCTCTTTACCCAGTCCCTCTCCTCCACACTTAGACTTGTTTTCATTGTGCTGATGGTGGCTTGGAAAACCCCCCCTAACTGTGTCACACAGGCAGAAGGGAAGGCGGCCGGAGCTCAGCCGGTCCCCTTCTCCACACTTTGACTTATTTTATCCTACTTGGTTCTATTTCTCCCTCTCTGGGAGCCTGGGCTCACCGCGCAGCAGCCCACAGCATCCATCCACCCCTCCCTCCCTCACCGCCCCGCACATATACTCCCGAGCCTCGGCACCTCCCCTTGACCAACTAACCTAAACCTACACTAAAATACACTATGCTAACAATACAATTCGACAAATTACTAGCTATTCTCTCTGCTCTACTACTCTCTCTGCTCTGATCCAACCTACTCGCTATCAGTTTGATAACTGCGGACAGAATGGTTTTATAGTAAGGAGAGGAGGAGTAAAGGGAGGAGGGCAGGCTTTAGCGTGGACGGTTAGTGACGTCATTCGCCCCGAAAAAGAATCATTCGCCCCCAATGTAATGTAATGTAAATTCAAATGTAGTAACCAGGTTTCAAGCTGTAGAGGGCACTCCATAGCACATTTTTAAAATAAAATGTAGATTTTCAACAGTTTGCACTAAACTGTCAAGATTTTGAGCAGGATCAGTCAGTAACACTACTATACAACCAGAAACAATGATTATCAGCTGAAAAAAATGGTTTTAGGGTTTAGTTACTCTTTAACAAGCAGTTAAACAGGTGTACCTAATAAAGTCAAAACCTCAACACATTTTCCTACAAACAACTGTATTTAAGTTCTCACCAAACACTTTATTTTAGAAGATAACATTTAAACACATCATGATAATGTTCTAACTTAAATTTGCCCAATAGTCCCAATAGTTTTCTGAATAAAGCTCGGGGGAAGATCTCTTTTCATCCTGAACACACTTTCTATTGTCACTGGGATGGCAGGATGCTGTTAGTCCCGAGCCCTGCTCTTTTGCCTATGCAAAACATCGGCCACTGCCATCATGTAGTATCATCTTATTTGCTGACAGGCTGATGGCAGACAACAAGTCAAAAATCAGCCAGTGCAGATGTTCAGCTGATGAAATGGTTCATCCCTAGTTTTTAGTGTAGAGAAATTTGAATAAGAAAAATCTACTGTATCTCGTAACAGTTGTGAATGGTTTTCTGCAACTGCTGATTATTTTTATTGGATCAACAGTCCAAAACCCCCAAAACATTAATCATATAGTCATCTTAGTCATATGACAAAGAAAAGCATTCAGTTATTCATACAATATAACGCCTAATGGCCACTGTGCTTTTGTTGTCTCCAGGCTGTGACCAGGCGTGTGTGGGCTGCATGGGAAGTGGTCCTGCCCGCTGTAAGAAATGTGCACGTGGCTACAAATTAAACGGAGCAAAGTGTCTCGGTAAGGATGTACTGCTTATTTACTAAATTTCTGTGCCACAGCTCTGTAAGTTTTTTCCATAAACTGTTTTTTGTCTCATCTCATAGATATAGATGAATGTAGTGATCGGGCAATAGCGTGCCCCGGACTCAATGAGGCCTGTATCAATGAGGAGGGCTCCTTCCACTGTGACTGTGCTGAGGGATTCATCAGAAGAGACAGCATCTGTGTTGAGAATAAGCCTCCTGGTAAGCAGTCGTAGCAGTAAAATACATATATTGCTAAAGGTTTCTCATTTCTGTTGGCTGAGTTTCTTTCCCTCTACCTCCTCAGCCGGCCCAGAGAAGGGGCTGTTTGACGACATGACAGATGACGAGGTCCTTGTACTGCAGCAGATGTTCTTTGGCGTTGTAATCTGTGCCATAGCTACGCTCGCTGCTAAGGGTGACATGGTTTTCACGGCCATTTTCATCGGAGGTGTAGCTGCCATGGCCGGTTACTGGCTGACAGAAAAGGGAGACTACATGCTGGATGGATTTCTGAAGGGACGCTAGACTGTCCAGGGCCAGGAGAAAGGACACTGGAATACCGGCCAGTTAAGGTGAATAAGACTCAACTGAGAGCAGGAAACTATCACTGCAATGCTATCCTTTCAGGGATTTACTTGGGGAGTTACTTGAAAGGGCTTGGGTTTATTTATGTTACTAAATAGGATAACGCAGGAAAAGGTGAGAACTTGAAGGCTATGAAGCCGCGAATCTTGAAGAGGAATAACAAAGCAACACTGCACTGATAAAAAGGAAGTGAACTTAATCCCCTACCTCAACTTTGTTGGGAACAAGGGTGACATGAAGACCACTACTGATTGTTAAACGCTATTATGCATTTGGATGTCTCATGGCCTCAATGTTGAAATGATGTCGTTTTCTTCCACACAATCAAAACCTCCCGTCCATCACGCCTGCCATGTTTTTCATATCTCAATGCCGTAAAGCAGAGGGTTTCCCATCGGCTGAGTGATATGTAAATTTTGGCTGTGTCGAGTCACTGCAACGCTCAAGATTCTTGCAACGGGCATGTTGTCAGATAAGGGAATTTTTAGCAATTTCCTCAATGACCCCAAAAAGAAAGCTCATTGAAACTCTGGGATATTTCCATTACGAGTCACTTATTTATGTTCACAGAATGACTTTTTACCTCCTAACTTACCGAATGATTCTTTTTAGTGATAATGCATGAAAACAGGATTTGAAACAAAAGGTACTTTACCGTATATATTAATTTATTGTCGTATTTTGGCATGGAAGACTGACTTCAACAGCTGCTGGATCACCCACACTACTGATACTGATAGTGTGTGTGTGTGTGTGAGGGAATGTGCTTCGGTAAATAACCAGATCCGATCTGGATGATTAAAGCCATTTTCTGTTGCCTTTAATTTATTTTGAAAGCAATATTTATTGGGAAGGTGTTTATCATGTTTTGCTCCTGACATTTCCTCTGTGTATTTTTGTGTGCATTTTCAATGCAGTTTTTTTTAGTGGGTTTAATTGTAATTCTAGCAGATATAGTAGCATCATGTTAGAAAACCACTGAAGCATCACTTTTTACCCAACCATCTACTTTGTCTTTAGTTTTCATGTGTAGAAAGTTTTACCACAAAGTCGTTCTCTGTTATAGATGTTTGCTTTACAATAAAAAGTCTGTCACTCATGTTTTTTATTAGAATTTTTTAATTCATTTTCTCAAAGAGAATGAGGAAAAACTCAAGCTTGTGGAAAAAGATTTTCTGCGATCACATTTTGCATCCTAAATTGTTGGACATACTAGTCAGTGACTGGGAGAAACCCTTAAAAGCAACATCATGCAAGAATTGGCAGTTTTGCAATTTGATGGCCCTGGAGATTTGGAGTTGTACACCACTGCCCTAAATATGGATGATCAGTTAGCTGCTGTAGAATCAAATTCAGCATTGATGTCTGATCTCAGACTGCCCAAACTCCCTGCTAGATCCACAGACTTTCTGTTGCTGCTGTTACACAAGTTCAATCCAGTGCTGCCACTGGCCACAAACCCACTTTGACCCCTGGTACTGAATTTGAGTTGCTACATCCACTAAGTAAATGTCCATCTCTAGAGCTACTGCACTCTCCTCCCAGCGAATAATTTCCTAGCGGTGGGAAGTAAAGCAGAAGGACTGAGGTATGCTGTCTAGCTAATTCTTTGTGGTCTGATAAACAGAGATAGAGAGCAAGAAAGCTCCACAATTAGATATGATTTTACCCATTTAAAATATTCAAACAAATAGAAAATCAATATGTGGCGGCCCAAGTTGATATCGTGGTGGGCTGCCACAAATAAATCAATGTGCGGGAGACACTGAACTTTGACAGATGTACACACTGCTGTTGGCCTGTTACTGTTTTCCAGTCAACCATGAGACGGATCACTCCAGCTTATGTTACGACAGTATAAACAGCTTGCAACCCCGCATTAGTTTGCTCAGTTATAATGTATAATTCATGCATTGCTAATGGTATGTGAGGTTTTGATTTTTAGAACAACAGTTCTTTGCCTCTGCCTTCATGTCGATATTGAGTATACTGAGCTAGCCTCTGTAAAGCATAACTTCTTACAGGAGATCCCACCTGCTCACCAAAGTTACATAGTGCAAAAAAAAGTGTTAGGTGCCTGAAATGGGAATGAAATAGACGTTATTCTCCACCAACAAAATTATTTTGAAGTTGTTATTTTAAGGTAAAAAAAAAGGAGCATTATGTTACTTTAAGGGGGAAACTCCATTGATTAGACAGAATTATTGGGAGGGCTGCTGCAGATGTGAAAAATTGTCCTGTATCTCCAGAGGGAGCTGTGCGAAATATGAATTTAAGAAAAATGTTGTTTGGGACTAGACTACAAGTTTAAAAAAAAAAAAAAATATGGGGATGTGGAGTTGGACTTTACTATACCTCTGTAGCCTGCTCCTCATCTCTGCTTGAGGTTAGCAGCTCCAGGCTACATTAGCCATTCCTAGCATAACACACCCAAATCTCCAACAGAACTATTTGTGGCCAGGTTGTATTTTGGGTAATGTAGGCACAAGGAAAAATGCACAGAATAAAAAAGATGATATCTCTAGTATCAATGTTGATACTTTACCAAAAAAAAAAGCCGATAAGAAAAAAATTCTAAAGTAAGATAGGAAATAATCTGATGCTGAAAACCTTCATTTGGTTTTTCCCAGTTTAGAAAATCATAGAAATATCCCTTTAAAGTACTTTCAATGGCTATTACAACACTAATTACATTTATTATATATGTTGCATCCCATTTTCATCTGTCACTTATGTATGCCCCAAATGCTGCAGAGAGGCCAGGGTTTCAAGTCTTGACTCTGGATGTCGAGGTTCAGCTTATTTCAGTGTTCCACTCCAGTTAATGGGGTTGAGGCACAGCAGCTCTCTCTCCTTTAGCGTCTCCTGGGAGCGTGTTAGTGCTCTGTCCCTCCAGCTCTGCTCCATTAGCTGTACACACACACAGGCACACACACACACACACACACACACACACACACACACACACACACACACACACAAACAGCAGAAATGGAAAAACCTCAAACACACACCCTATACTGTTGTAACCCAAGAGGATCCCGCATGTTGAAGCATTACCGGGACACTACTGTGAGTGACGTAAACACAAAAGCATTAGCAGTGGATACATAATGTATGTGTGGGACCGTACCCTCTTGTTCTCATCTCTGTATGCTGTCATTGCTTTGCTGTGCCGGATCCTTAGCTCACTCTCGCTGGACAGGGCGAGGCGGTCCACTTCTCGTAAATGCTCGGCTTCCTTCTCTTTACTGGCCAGCTGCAGCTTCAGTGCTGCACATTTTTCCTCTATCTGCCTCTTTAACTGCTCTCGTAACTCCTTCCTACAGGACAGAGAATGACTTTTCTCTGTCATTGATGAATGTTAATAAGTATACAGAGAGTCATTACTATGTGTTTATTATCATACCTGTACTCTTCTCTCTCAGTGCTGGTTCCATAGAAAGGTTTTCTCCACACTTGATGATACCTGACACATCAACCAACTAAGTCAGTGACTTTGACTTTCAGCTCTCTAAAATAAAGATGACATCACTAATTCTCAGTTAAAAAAAAATCAGTTACAGTAAGGCATTGCACAGATGCTCCTACCTGTGGTGCTCTCTTCTCTGCATAATTAGTGTCCTCTGGTGGTTGTGGTGGTGAACAGCTGGCGTCTCCAGGCTGACGGTGCGTTTAGGGACCAAAGGTGGATGTAAAGGGTTCAGTCTTGGAATACTCTGAAGAGCAGATTTAAGTTTTTTTTTTTTCCCCTCAAACAAACAGCATCTTCATATTGGACAGTCAGACAGTGACTTAAGTGGAAATGAATCTTTGCTGACCTGGCTGCTTGTCCACAGCCGGGCAGAGTCTGAGATGCTGGGAAATATCATGGGAGTGACCACCAGGCAGCGACTCTGCCGGACAGGAAGTGTGTCGTGAGGGAGACACACTGGTGTGGAGGCTATAGAGATGGCTGCTGTGATAGTGAAGAAGAGTGAGACGAGCAGTATAACAGCATGTTTAAGATGTTTACAAGTAGCACTAACATAGAGAACAAACAGGAAACAGTTTTCTTACGTAGTCTCATTTTGTTGTTCAAGCAGTTTCTTCTGTTCGCCCACCAGAGACGTCTTCGTGGAATGAATGTCAAATCCTGCACTATTTAATTATCTTCTAAAAGTTGCAGTTCTGATTTGTATTGAATCATAACTCAAAATGTAAAGCAAATACCTGCACTGGAGCTAGTTAGAGATTAAACTGTGACATGCCTGTGCATTCACTGAGTGTTTTGCGGTGGCAACAGTTGCCTTGGGAATCAGGTTACCAGCCGCCAAAAAGAAAGCTGCTGCGTGGACTGTGAAGTCATGCTTCAGTACACCCAAAAGACATATTATTAGCCTGTGACAATAGACTAACCAGAGACAGTCGGAAGATGTCTCCGGTCTCATCTACGTATGAGGACGTGGAACAAAACACCCAGTTGGAAGAATGACTGAATGATGCACTCAAGAATCATTTCAACATTTAAACCCCTTAAAACATTTTTATTAAATATTGAGTAAAACTTTTAAAGGAAGAAGAAGGATGAAGTAATATCACTGCATAATTTTAAAGGGATTCAAGTATAACATTGCAAGTTAATAATAACAGAGATGGGACCAAGTCATTGTATTGCAAGTCACAAGTAAGTAGTAGTCAAATCCCAAGTTAAGACAAAGTCCCAAGTCCCAAACATTGAGTTTTGAGTCCCAAACAAGTCATAATGCACTCTTCACCACATGTAATGCCATTTTATCAATGAAGCTATAACGTTAGCTAAGCTTTAGCTCGCTAACTATGTTAATGTTTGCCTCAACTTGCGTTCTTGGTGCAACTTCAAATGTAAAACAAAGCTGGAAGTTGTGTCTCTGACATTTTGCATACTGCAAATCTTTTTCTGTTGAGCACTGCTTAGTTTTTATACATGAAAGAAATAATCTTTGGTATCATTTTTCCCAACCTGCATTCAGACACGTAACATGAGTTCTTCATGGCTCTCTCTTGCAACTTGATAAAGTGTCGACTTGCTGGGAATGCATAGTGTGAATGTTAGTTGATTCAGAAAATGAAGGTTAGTTGACTGATTTGTGGCATGCCTTTTAAAGAACATTTTGTAAAGGCTCAAGTCCAAGTGAAGTCACAAGTCATTGAAGTCACGTGACTCGAGTCTACACCTCTTAATCATCATGTTAATACTGTAATATGACCTTAATGTTTATGTGATGTGATTGTTTTTCTTGTCTTTGCCACAGCAAATCTTCTTGCAATCCTTAATGCATTGTGCTTCAGATTCCAAGTCTTTCATGGTTCTCCCACAGCCACTCGTGGTACTTGTTTAACATGTGATCTTCAGGTTTCACCTACAAAAATAGCAATAAAATATCAGATTTGTCATTAATGAACATTACAAAACAAACCGTCATCCAAAACCGTTGCGATTAGACTCACCTCTCTCCACTCCCCCACACAGAAGATCCTGTAGGAGTCGTTGCCGTACTTCCCAATGCCGTGCAACTCGATGGGGTAACGCCACTGTTTAGTTAGATAGTCATCTACACAGGAAAAATGGATTTTGAGGTTTTTGTTGCTGCTTATGTTGCTTCACATATTCTGACTGAAACTACACAAATGTACAGTGAAAACACTGCAATCATACTGTTATTACTGTGCACAGAAGTGGACACTGGACAAGCACACTCACCTGAGAAGCGTATTAGTATTTTGGCTCTGAGCTCATACAGGCCTAGTGGCTTCATAAGTTCAGACAGGGGCTTCCAGTCAGCCTCACGTGTCACCTCTGGACTCGGGTAGCGGTCGAAGAACTGCCACAGCACTGGTATGGCCATCTTGCCTGGAGTAGTGATAAAAAAGTATACAAATGCTACACTTGAGTACTAGTTGATAGAATACTGTTGCAATGCAGCATGTGTGTGTTGGAGCTTACCACTGGTCTTATTCAGAAAAATAGTGGCCACCAGGAGCTTCCAGGGATCATGGAACAGAGTTTCCTGTACGAGGTTGTAGGGGGAGCGAGGGGGCGTCCACTTCTTGAAGGCCTTCCTCCTGGGTGGGCTGAGGCCTATGTATGGACAGTTAATTGTTGAGGTGTGCTTTATATCTTGCATACAAATATACTCAAGCTTTTTCTTTGCTTCTTGTATTTCATGAAATATTTGAACATTACCATCTCTGAGGGGCTGTCTGCTGAAGTAAGGGCTTGTTTTCCGTTTGCCTTCCATGCTCTTGGACTCTAGATGACAGGAAACTTTTATATTAAAAAAAAAGAACACATTTCTGATGTCACATAGTGGGTGCTTTTCATCTTGTGCTTCCTTGCATCCTCTCTCCTCTTCACCCTTCACCATCAAGGACGAACTTCCAATCCCTTAAAAGCACCTTGAGGAGACGAGAAGACAGGAGGCTTCTGGAGGAGCTATCCTACACAGAGTCTTTTATCAAGTGACGTGACGTATAAATGCCACACCTCCAAATGTGGTACAGTAGTTGCTTTAGAGTGACGCTATGGAATAAAGGATTGCTCATGTGGCAGCTTTGGCTCCTCTATCCTTGTGTCTTTTTCTTGCATCTTTCTCTCACTTCCTGGCAGGGAGGAGCCTAGTTGCGAGGAAGGGACGCTAGCACAAGCACTCCTGCCTGGAAAGGAATGGCCATCACGTCACCTTAATGAGAGGCAATATAGCTCCCTTTGTTCTTTCCTTCTGACTTATGCCATGTTGTGTCCTGTGAGTTAATTTCCAAATAATATTTGATTTACTTTTATTGCTGCACATTTTTTGTGATGTTTGATGTTATGTTAATAATTTTGTTTTCTCTCTGCAGAACTTGAATTACAAACACAGATTCATGAAGAGCTCTACAGAGAACTGCTCTGCATTTTGATCCGTGGACTCCTTTTTATCTTTGGGTCTCTCAAACACACTAACCACGAGCCATTAGATTTGAATCTCCAAAAGAGCACCTCCCTACAGAATTGGAAATGAGGACTTCATACATATAAATACTTCTGAGTAATCTAAGTATTTATATGTATGAACCCAAACACCTTTACAAACAACGGAGGAATGACTGTAGGGAGGCACAGTTGGTGACTTTAATAACACTTGTTAGAAATTCAAATGTAATAAGATACAACAAATGAATTTTACTCTAATTTGTTTTTGTTTTTTGATCATGTCTGAAGTTCAGCGACTATTGAAATTATGTGTTTGATGCCGTTAAAGATGCTTTCTACTTGTTAAAGATCATACAAGTGGCCTCCATCAAGTATATTATTCAAAACCTGGGGGGCTGGAGCCTATCCCAGCTGACATTGGGCGAGACGTGGATACACCCTGGACAGGTCGCCAGACTATCACAGGGCTGACACATAGAGACAGACAACCATTCATGCTCACATTCACACCTACAGACAATTTAGAGTCACCAATTAACCTGCATGTCTTTGGACTGTGTGTGTGTGTGTGTACTCCGGCTTCCTCCCACAGTCCAAAGACATGCAATTTAGAGTCACCAGTTAACCTGCATGTCTTTAGACTGTGGGAGGAAACCAGAGTACTATTCTGACTGGACCGCAAGTGACTCACAAATGTATCAACATTTTATTTTTAAGCACAGAGAATTTCTGGCGCAGAGCTTTTATGCTGAAGCGCCATTTCCTGCTGTAGAGTGAGTAAATAACTGACAGCTACTTGACAGTGATGGTAAAGTAGCTCCATGACATGGCCAAATGCAAGTGTGACGCTGAATATATTAAACTGTGTGGACCTTGAATTAATGACTAATGAGAAATCTGGACCCTGTGGCCGGACCAGTTGGGAACCACTGCATCAGTGTATAATGACATAAAAGTAGAATCGTGTAGCTTAGCCATAGAGCTTAGCATTAGCCTTAGCGGCACGGTGGTGCATTGGTTAATATTGTCACCTCAGATTGAGAGTTTGTATGTTCTCCCCGTGTCAGCGTGGGTTTTCTCGGGGTACTCCGGCTTCCTCCCACAGTCCAAAGATATGCAAACTAGGTCAATTGGTGACTCTAAATTGGCCGTAGGTGTGAATGTGAGCATGAATGGTTGTCTGTCTCCATGTGTCAGCCCTGTGATAGTCTGGTGAACTGTCCAGGGTGTACCCTGCCTCTCACCTAATGCCAGCTGGGATAGGCTCCAGCCCCCTTGCAACCCCTAACAGGATAAGCGGCTACAGAAAATGAATGAATGAATACAATGAGCCCTTCATATCTAACGAGGGACAGGTCCCCTTCGATGGAGCCAGCCATGTTGCACTGCCATGTTTCTACAGTAGCCCAGAATGGACAAGGGGCCTTTCATGTTTTTATGTAACCTAAAGACCACTGTTTATTCTCCTACATGGAAAAGGAGGGATGAGGGAAGGAGTACTCAGATGGTTGCAACCTCACTGCTAGATGCCACTAAATCCTACACACTGCTCATTTAATGCATTCGGTTTAAAAAAGAAAAGACAGTGTTAAGATGTGAAATTGTAGGGATTGTAATGCACTGTATAGGATGCTGAAATCTAAATTAAAAGGAAGTCGATCCAGGGAAAACTAACTTGAACTGCTATTTTTACAGGCTGTGAGACGGAGTGGATCATACTTACTATTCTGGGAATCTCTCACCGGCGTGCAGCTCTCACCAGTGATGTCAGGTAACAACACCTCCTGTTCGTCATCTCGGTGGCTGTCAGCCTCAGCCTCCTGTTCAGAATTAGGCGTGTTGTCACCTTTGCTGTGAATGTGTATGTCATCTCCACCTCGTTCACCCTCACCCTCGCCCTCGCTGTCAGTGGCAGGTTCGACTTTCAGAGTCGGGACAGAAGGCTGCGAGTCTGCCTCTTCGTCCTTGTGAACAGTGAGAGTGTTTTCTTGATTGCTAGATGGAGCCAGTCTGAGAAGCTTCTCTCTCAGCTGACCCGGCCTCTGAGGGCTCTTCTGCAGTTTGTTGTCATCTTGTGTGGTTGAAGGTGCAGCAGTGTGCGACACTTCTCTGTCTTTAGTATCACTTCTCAGGGAGGAAGAAGCCTTTTTAGATTTATTTGGAGGCGAATCCAGTATTTGTGTCACATCTGTTGTCCCCTGCTGTCCATTTGATTGTCTTTTCTTTCTTCTCCTCTCTTTCACTTGGGCAGGGAGTACTTGTGAAGTGGTGACATCATCCTTGGATGCAGTGAAATCAAAGAGGTCTATGTCTAAGTCACCCTCTCCATCTTTCAGGAGGAAAGCCTTCAGGGATGCTTTTGAGCGGAACTTCAGCCCTTGGGGACTGAACAAACAAACAACAGAGAGAAAAATCAATTAGACACTGATCTAACCGGATCTGCAAGGCACTTAGTCACGATCGAGGTATGATTACATTCAG